CTCTCTGGATGCTGTGAAGCACCACGGCTGGAGGAATTGGTCACTGGCCATGGAGGGATGGTTCATCGGACTAATATTATGCTTCGGCCAACATCTTGCCGGTCGGCACTCAAACACTGCCTGGCCGACCAAATCTTCGCTGCTGAATCTGTTCTTAACAGCAACAGAGGGCAAAAACATAGTCATGGCAATGCATTTCAAGCAATGTATGCACAACCACACTCTTATCATATGTATGACTCAAAGGAGGATGGGCCTCGATTCTCGGACCACCAATCACGCATTTCCGTGCATGATGGCCCAAAGAATCAGTTTGCATTTGTTTCAAAATGAAATGCAATGCACGTAAAACAAAACCAAGGGGCTTTCAACCTCTATCATGCCTTGATCAATAGGTGAAGCATGCATGCCAATGCAATGCAATCCTAAAGCATGTGAGGCCTAGGCTGCAAATAATGGCATGCAAGCAAGTTATGCAAGATGCAACTAACGCAAGCATGCAAAGTGTAACAACAACATGCCACATGCAAGGGCAATAGGACAACATGTTAGATACAAAGCATGCCAAATGCAACAACACAAAAGTGCTTACAACAATGTTCATGAGCCAAGTATCTACATATATAAGCATGCATGCAAACATGGCTTAAAACTTTAAACATCAAAAGGTACTCTCAAGCACACTTAAGAGGATGCCAATCATGGGAAAATGGCATGCACCTATAAGCTTTGAAATTGGCATAGAAAAGAGGTGCTAAACAACTAATCAAAGCAAAAAGCAAGCATGTAATTGGTTCAAGGGACCTAAAGCATGATCATATGTCACATAAGCAAATGGACCAAAATAGATCAAACAGTCCTAAATCCTGTAAGCAGTCCTAAAAACCAACCTAGATGGATTTAAGATGATCTACACAAGAGGTGCACAAATGCTTAAACATGGAGCACACAACACAACCTCTTAAAGCATTAAGGAGCATTAAATGCAGCCATGCAAGCATATTATAAGGACTGAAATAACATGGTAAGTGGTTCCAAACCACTGAAACACTGGATGAATGCATGCTACACACTCACGCACCAAGGCTAAACAAGCCAAAATGCAAGGTGCTACCTAAGGCGATGTGATGGTCGACCAAAACCAACCAAAAATAGAGCTTAAGTATGCTAAACAAACACAAAAGCTTCACAAGCTGGGCCAAAATCTGCTAGAAACAAACAAGGATTAAAACCAAAAGCATGTTAAGACATAAACTGGCATTACAAGGATGTATCTAAGCAAGCATGGTGTACCAAACCAACTAAAACAGAGGCATATTATGACATAATAAGCATGAAAATCAGCTAGGCGATGGCCCAACACGACACTTAGACTAGCATGCTCCCTCAAGAGGGCAAAAAATGGCCCTTTTTCAAGGGACACAAGGAAAGGGGTGGCCCTCTCCTCCTAGGGACCTCAAGGGCACCATCCCACCTCTGAAAGCCCTCAAGATTTCAGTGCGAGAGGAAGGCCCAAAAACACAATGGTCCCGGAGCTCAACCAAAAATGGCACAAAAAACAAAGGCCAAACAAGCCTTAAGAGGGGTCAAACGACCCCAAAGCTTTAAAACAATCTTAAACAACTATTTAGAACACTAAAAATCAGACTTTTATATGTTATACACAAACTCAAAAACAGAGCAAGGTAGGCAAAAATGGCAATGCAAAAATAGGAATAAAGAGGACAAGTTTCTTACCCTTGTAGACCCTCTTCACCAATTGGTTGAACAGCTGGTTCTTCAAGCTCAAACCAGCTCCACACTCCAAAAACAAACCCTCAAGGCATCATGCTCCAAGAAAAGATGTGATGTGGGTGTGGTGTGCAAAACTAAGACAAAACACACACCAAAAAACACCAAGAGAAGAGGGACTATAGAGATGGAGGATATTGATGAACCCTAACCCTAAAACTTCAAAACCCTCTGAAATTGTTGTCTAAAATTTGTTCTAACCTCAAAAAGAGGATGAGGAGCGCTCTCTTATAGAGCTTCAAGCTTGTTAAGCTTACAAGCAAAGTAAGCTTAAGAGGGAAATCCCTCCATACCGTGTATGGAGGGAGCCATGCATGGCCAGCTACATGAAAGATATCTGACAAAAGCAGTATGCCCACAATAAGTCGCCGGCCAAAAATGCAATTGACCAAAAAAAGATGCCGGCGGACATCTATAGTACCGGCGGCCAAGAATTTGGCCGGGCAACAAAACACAGCCGGTGGCCTCAAGCCAATGCCGTGGAGTGTTGGGGATGCCCACAAGCCATTCCCTGCCCCTCCAGGCAAAGCACAAGGTTTGGGGCAAACCAGACACAAAAACAGGTCGAGTCGAGAGATCCTGAGGCAGGCGCCGTAGCCGAGACCTCCGGGATCTCAAAGACGAAACACAAACATGGATGCATCACCGAGTGTTCAAGCGGGTGACGTCCAAGGTCTTAAGACGGTCAAAAATGAGGTGATCTACAGATATACATTTGATGTATGTCATAAAGTTGAAGCCGTAAATAGTTAGTTTTGTGTAGTGCGTTCCTCTGTCATTCATGAGGTTTAAAACGAGGCTGCGAATTTAGAATTGTATATTTTATATAAAGAACAAATTGGAATATTTTATAACAACCAACCTATTTATGAGTGGATTAAATATATATATATATATATATTTTAAACTTTATTAAAAAGTGTGATAAAAATAGTATTGTATATATAATACACTTTAATTAGAAGGTGTGATTAAAAAATATATAAATAATCACACTTTAATTAGAATGTGTGATTTAAAATATATATATATATAATCACACTTATTTAAAAAGTGTGATTAAAAAAGTCAGTGTATATATAATCACACTTAATTGAAAAGTGACATAAACATAAATATTATCACACTCATCAAATTAAGTGTGGATTAAAATAAATCAATCTAATTTTTTTTATCACACTTCAATAAAAGTGAGATTTTTTTTTTTTTTTTTTTTTTGGGTCCAAAAGTGATATTTAACTATTTTTGTAATAGTTACATGAAAGAGTTTACAGTGAATTTATTTTAACCTTTATGTTCGCTGCAAAAGAGCAGCAAGCACCCAAATTTTGTAGGGTACCCTACAATATAATCTAGAAAATTTGATTATATTCAGTGAAGCCCAATAGTATTAGCTAGGGAGTGTCCTGCTAAATTGTAAAGCATGCTTAAAATAAGTTTATGACTTGGTGAAGCTATATATATTATATAACTTAATATTTGATTTAATTTGTTTTTGTTTTCAGGTTTTGCATGAAGACTAACTAATTACTGACTGATGAATGGATGAATTAATGGTGGCATGGAAGCTAATTTTATTTTTGGACATATTATATTATGGTTTTTGATGTCAAGCTTTTTGTACTTGATATTTACAACATATTGCTATATCATACTGTTTGTATTGATTAAACAAATTTTTGTTAATATTTTGATGTCAATGAAGCTAAGATGATGACTGAATTTGTATAAACATTTTTGGTTTTTGAATGAATGAATGAATGTCTATTGATTGAATGCATTTTTTTTTAATTGGATTTCAATCAACAGAAAAAAAGTATTAATTACAAAAACAAAATAACTTTTTTATGAAAAATAAATATTTATTTGTGATGATTAATTTTGTTGCAAAAGGTATTTATTTTATAATTTGTTTTTTGAGACAACAACTAATAGTCTCAAAAACGTATACAAGAAATGTGACATCTGAATTTTAAATTTAAATCAATACTGTGTTAATATCAACTAATCATGAGTAGAGAAAAATATACATATATATATACATAATAATTAATAACTAAATAGAATTCCTTATTATATAAAAAAAAGTGCATGGTTTAGAAAGTTGTAGATTGCAAGACATTACACTTTTTAAAATATTAAATATTTTAGTAAGCGGTAAATGATTTTTTATAATTGATGGTGAGATTTTTAAATATGAACCTAATTTATAATTATACGTAATTTTAAAAATTATTGTGAATTACCGAAGAAGGTAATAACCTTTAGTAGGGATCATTGTTTACCGAAGAAGGTAACAATAATCTTTAGAATGGTAAAAAAGCCAAGTAAAAGTTTTGGTGAGCCAAAGTGGCTCTTGAACAATTCCTGAGGTAAAAACTAAGGGTCAAGGACAAGTGGCAGCTCCTACGGGTATGAATCAATTGTTGGTAGCTCATACATATATGAATAATTGCTTGGGCTTCGCACTTAGTCATGTATAAATAGTGAGGGTTGGTGCTGTAGTAGGAAAAAAATCAAGCAAGGATCCAGTTTGTAGGAGAGCCTCAGAAACGGGAAGTGAATCAAGATTGATTTAAGAATAATTTTAAGGTGAGTTATATTATACTTTGAGCCATCATGTCATTTTTTATATATGTCTTGAGTCACCATAATATATTTTACGAATGTTTTGAGTTATCAAATTTTATTTTATATACTTTATGTTTTATGGTTATATTAATGTTTCAATTACATGAAATTTTTTTCTGAACTTTATTTGCTTAAATTGAAACTCATGAATATATTTATTTAGATTTTAGAAATTATTTGACAATAATTTTATAAATCATTATTTTCTGTGAGTACCACCACGGGAGTGTCATGTCTTAGGAGACTTAAATAAACCATTGGTTGTGGCCCCCTATTTGTCATGGATCTATTGACCTTTGTTATGTTTGTCACTTCAATGACGTCTGTTCTGTTCTGTTCTGTACCGTGGTTAGGGTTAGTTATTTATATAATCTTAGTTTTGCTACTTAAATGATTATTTGTTTCAAACTAACACTACAAGAAAATTAGCTTATAACCACGCTTTTGTTATGGCGTTTTTTTAAAAAACGTCGTTTTAAAGGTTTTCAAAATATTTTTGTAAATAACTCATTTTAAAAAGCACGCGTGCTTTGGTGTACGAACATGTTTTCCCTTTTAAGACCCACGCGTTTTTCATTCTTCTATTCTATTTCACGCAGCAATTGATAGATCTAGGTTTTCTATCTCTTCATCACTCCTCTTTCTTACTGTGAAAGGTCACTAGATCGAGCTTCGTAGGCTCCGATTCACGATCTGGTTCTCTCCATCTTGGCTCAAAGCTCTCAATCAGTCCAATTTGAAGATTAATTTTGTGAGTGCTCTGATTTTTTCATTTTGTTTATATACAAACTTAGATCTACGATCTCAAATCTGTTTGATATATATATATACTAATTTATGTCTATTGATCGCGATCGATTTTTATTCTATTGATCGATTTTTAGGCAAATCTCGATTGATTGATTTTTAATTGATTCTCCAGTTTCTTCTGTCTAATCCGACCTTCTGTTACCATAGAAAGTCTGCGAGCTCTAAGCTGAGCCTGTGTCCTACTCCGCGAATGGAGATAGCTCAAAGTAGTTGAAGTTTGTTTGCTTACAGAATGGGTTTGGGTCAGGATCTGCAATCTTACTATTCCTTTCAAACGACGAAGATTTTTCCTTGCCTAGAATGAAAAAATTAAAGATAAATACATCTCTCAAACAGAAATCTATTAGTAGTGAGATGGTGAAATTATATCATCTAACATACCACCTAGAATACTGAAAATCCCCCACTGGTAGTACCTAAGCAACAGTTTAGGTCTAGTGTTTCATAAGAACAAGAAATTGGTAATATATGATAATAAATGACATCATTCAAAAACCTAGACCTGTTTTACATTGCTCCTCTATGACAATGAAACTATGTCTTCCATAACTAAAATGTAAAATGAGTGACTGTGTGGTTGGTGTTCAAAGGTTCATAAGATTCACATTCTCAATTAGTTCCTATTGGACAATTATACTTTGAAAATCAATTGAAAAGTTCACTACATAGCAGTTAAGCAACTTATCACAACTTCAAAAAAAAAAAAACAAAAAAGGTACCACATATTCAAGGTTTAGATGAATTTGAATCAAATAACCATGGGTCACAGGACAATCATGACAAAATACAAAAAGGACTCTCCCCATGTATCTCTAGGATATGACTCAAGGAGCTCAGTAATGAGCAAACAATTAGTGTCACACAACTTTTGAGGCAACAGCAATTGCAAAGCCCAAGTACTTAAGGATACCCTAAAACTAAGGAAAAGGTGCTTTTTTCCACCTCAAATAGATGCCCACCTAATATTCGTATGTGACAGGCTGACAGCAAACAATAGGTAAAACCATGGCATCTTTAAAACTGTGTTTGGATCATGGATTTGGGTAGGGATTTCAAAAGGAAAAGAAAAAATATGAGAGAAATATGTATGAAATATAAACTAAATCTCAATTTCCCTCACCTTTTCCAAATCCGTACCCAAATCCATGATCTAAACATAGCCTAAATGATTCTCATCAGGAACCATAAGCTTTTAATATTTATTTACAACTTACTAAATGCATAAGGACCTCAGGGGTATGTAAGGGTGACAAATCTCACTCCCCCACAGACTTGTCAATCAAGGCATAATACACATTGCCCAAAGAGACAAAGGCATACCATACAACATCAGTTCAGTAAAAGCACCACAAGATTGTGATGCAAAGTCCAACATTGCCAGGGTATGAAAACAATGCGTAGTATATAATTGCACTTCTTTTCAATAACTAGGTTTTGGCTACCATTTCTACGGTAGCCAAACAAACATCAAATCAAATGGATATTCGTTTATTCACCTCATCTCGCAGTAAACTCATTGTCCTTTTTTTAATGTTTTTCCATTTCTTTAACAAGTGCATAATCATGTGTTGGAAGACGGCGATGAAAGGTAATGGGTTATGCATTTATTACTCAAAATTTATAGGCAGTTATATCATTTAAAAGTACGAGAATTGAGATTTAGAAATTGTATTCAATGTCCCTCTGCCCTTTCCTCAATAGTTATATTATTTTTAGTATTTGAGTCGACCAATCATCGGATGAACAAACTATAGAATTTGAAATACATGTAAAAAACTCGAACATACTAAACTCAGCAAAGGTTTTGTCACTGAGTTAAGTATAAGAACCTGATACACACATTTGAATGCTATGAGGATTATAATTCAGAAATGTTAAGAACGCTTTTGTACCAAAATTTAAGTATGCTAATTGATTGTCTATGAGTGTGGAAGATTTTGTTATATACTTTTCTAGCTGGGAAAAAAAAAGTTTGTTTCATGACTTTATTACTACAAATTTGTGACCATTAACTTGTACTTGCAGAGATTCAGACATAGCAATGACATGGAAAACTGGCTTCTACATCCCATGAGGGAGAGCAACCTGTAATTATTTGCCCTTGTTTCTATATGGATCTCAAGAAAAGTAGGTGATCATACTTTGTTTATCATAAGCTTTCATCATTGGGGTGTAGTCTTGTATTTCTTACTAAATTATTGGGTTGCAGATGCATGATTCTCATCCCCTATCTATAAAATGTTTGAAATCTTTGGGAGACAAGATGATTAAGGAGCAACATTTTACAACTCATGATTTCTTGGAATCAGTAAGCTAGATTTCTGTAACCCCTTTAAAAAAAACTTCATCTCTATATTTTCCATTGTTGTGGATAATGAAGATATTCTGCAGGAGGTGGTCCTAATGCAGGTAAATCCCATAGAACTATGGTGGATGGTTGCATTTGTCAGCTTCAACTGAGATGTTTTTCTACTCTTTCTCTTCTTCTTGAAAGGTATTCGATTTTGAGATTGGTACATCTAATATTGCTTTTAAATTGCTCGAGGAGCTTTTCATTCAGTTCAAGTGAGTTTTTGTTTGTGTCATCATTATAAAATATGTTGGCAATCATATGGTTAGAGTTTAGATCAGTTTACTGTTTATTCTAATGGGTCACGAATTCTGTCTTATATGAATTTAGGGGAATTGCAACGGTTGGGAAACTTGTAAACTTTGAAGCATGCAAGGATATCATGGATCTTCTCTATGAAAAGGATTAGACATCAGCTCTTTATAATTCTCCCAAATATCTTGCTACATTAATACTAGCATGTGCATTTACATTTCTTATTTCTAATTTACTAATTCAGAAATGTTGCACCTGCTATGTCTTTTTACTTTGTAATAGTTTTGGATCTTTTGCAGGTTGCTTCATATGTTATCACAATTCCAAAACAGAGATGGGAGTTTTTTGTTCTTCCTTGGGGTAATATTTCTGTACTCGAAATTTCTCCGGTCGCCTCTTCTATTTGATCTACAGTTATCATTTTGTGTTTCTATGGTTATGCCAAAAAAATAAGATGTTATGCACAGTCAGAAACACTAATACCAATTATTATGTGCCGTTTTATTCTGATTAGAAAACTACTAACCACCAACTAAATCTGTATTACAGAAAAGTGATTTACTTGAGGTTTTTGTATAGCTTAGATTTTTCACAATTGTGTTTATACAGTTGTTTTAGACTAATAGTCATCAATAGATCACTCATTTGGTTTATCATTCTGTAGCCAGCTTCACCTACCACCCTTGGAAAGGAAATTGCAATTCTTGCTGTCAGATTAAGCAGGGAAAGACGGAATATTTCTCAAGTTGAGATAATGGGGAAGTTTGCTGGTGCAGTTAGAAATTACAATGCACATCTTGTTGCATACCCTGATATTGAATGGCCTCAAATTGCAGAGGAGTTCGTGAAATCTCTTGGATTAAGTTTCAATCCCTATGTGACTCAGGTGTGTTCCATTCACAAGATTTCTTCTCACTTAAGTTTTATTAGGTTTCTCCGTAATTCTTCACAAACCAGAGTAATTTTTAGAAGTTTTATCAGCAAGTTCTAAGTTAACAATCAGTAACCACATTTTGATGGATCCTTTTGATATGCTATATGTTGGCTCGTAGAGACCTACCATGCACTACACAACTGCTCTATGTACAAAGCTAGAGAAGTCAGTAGTCTTTATTACCTATTAGTTACTCATTAGTGAACTTTCTTCCGAATTTTTATCCTGTCCTTGCTCCTTATTGTTTTTATCTAACAATTAATTCATCCATATTAAACTGTGATAGAGGACATCACTTATATGTGTTCCTTGAAAATTTGGAATTCGGTTCATTATCTTCTAGCTAATGCTTTCATAGTTTAACCATGTTCTGCAAGTTAGTTGCTGCTCCAGATTATCAATGTGATAATTTGAACCACTATTCTAAAAATCTTTTTAAAAACAGAATGATTTTTGAATGGAACTTACAGAGGGCTTATGATGCATATTCATGCATATTTACCTGATCTAATTTAATACAATTTGAACATGTTATGCAGATCGAAACTCATGACTATATGGAAAAACTTTTCCATGCAATTATCCAGTTTAACATCTTAATTGATTTTGATAGGGACATGTGGGGCTACGTATCTTTAGGTTACTTCAAGCAGGTGAACTTTCTGATATATTTGTGAATATGTTGCGCTACTGGTTTTCCTCTGGCTAGAGCTTATGTTTTTTCAAGTTCAATGTCAAGCAGATATAAGGCTAGTGCGATTGGGTCCTCGACTATGCCTCATAAAGTAAATCCATTGATTTTGAAAATAGTGAGGCATCTGGAAGGCTAATGGAGGTCTATCCCATTTTAAGCATAAAATTACCTATTTTCGTTGGCAGGTAGAACTCTTCTCTCTCTCTCTCTCTGACTTCTTTGCGAAGATATATGAAAGCTCCATTTTGAGTAAACATTGATTGGTAGTTTTTAGGCACAAAAGTGCAGAATGTACGATTATGTCACTGGGCAATTATGATTTCTTTGCAGAATGTAATAGTTTTGGTCATCTAATTTTAGTGGTGATAGAGTGAGACATGCTAGAAAGCATACTCAGCCAAATAGAGTTTTTTTTTTTTAATATTATATATTTTATAAAATTTAAAAGCATACTCAGCAAAGGGATTTGTTTGGGCACAAATGAAACTGCTGCTATAGGTAATGTTACAGTTACTTTTCATTGGTTGGAATTAGGTACACGCATGTTTATTTTGTAGATAAAAAAGTAAATGGTGATTTTTGTGGGGATTATAAAAGTAAATGGTCATTGGCTAATAAAAGCATGCTGATTAAAGTTTGAAGGATATTTTGTGGGGGCTTTTTTCACTCATGTCCAAGCCATAGAAGAGACCATGTTTTTTCACTCCTGTTCATGAACTTCTTTAATTAGCTCATTGCTGAGGTCTTGAAAGTATATAACTCAATGATTTTTTCCTTGTGCTAACTACAGAGAAATTGTTCGAGAAGTTTTTATGAGAACATTAGGAGAGGCTTCTTGTTTGAGAATTCAGCGAGATTTTTGTATGCATTGTCACGACCCCAAACCGCCCTAGTAGTTTCGTGCCGTGATGGCCAGTAATCCGAGATTACCGAAGGCCAACTTTCAAAAATTCACACACAAACAGAGTATAAATATATGGCTAACAAGTACGGAAGCAATTTATACAAACAGATCAGTCTATAAGAGCTGTTGCATAAGTCAAAAAGAGATAGCAACCATTTACGTATGGGTTATAATCTTAATTACCAGCAAAGCAAAGTACAAATTACATTTTTTTACATTTTAGCAAAGGGCTCCACAGCCGACATGAACAAATTGTACGAATTACAGGTCTAAGAAACAGTCTGCAGATTGCGACATCCTCTTTGCCGACATAAACAATCATGCAAAACACACATCTTGATCAAAAGGCTTCTCAAGCCGACATACGCAACATACAAGTAGTAAAATCGAGAAGATAATTTTCAAGATTGCCAACGTAAATACAGGTTAAGCCGACATAATCAAAACCAAAATAAGCTCAGAATCACATCTAGGCGGTCACCGCTTCTTGTTCGTCACCTACATATATATAGAGAGGGTGAGCTTGGATACTCAGTAATGGTATAAAATAATAAATGAGTTTTGCATGAATAATGGCGAAGCCTTTCAAAAATACAAGACAAAACTTTATTATAACAAGGAATGGACCTCGTCCATTAACAGATCTTCAAGCTTCAAGGGATACTTACTAGCATCACATATTACAAATATTAACATTCCGGCAAACGTATCCACGCGGCAAACCGTCCGTGGCAAAACAGACAAGCAAGAGAGGCATCTCAAGTAAGGGTGCTACTAAAGTTTAGAGTCCTCTAGCACAAGGGACTTTCAAAACAATATGTGCTGCGAAAGTTTAGAGTCCTCCAGCAGAGGGACTATGTTACAAAGGCCCGTAGCCCTTTAACACTAGAGTACAAATCAAGGGTGTTGCGAAAGTTTAGAGTCCTCCAGCAGAGGGACTTCCAAGACGAGATGTGCTGCGAAAGTTTAGAGTCCTCCGGCACAAGGGACTTTCAAACGAGATGTGCTGCGAAAGTTTAGAGTCCTCTAGCACAAGGGACTTTCCGAGAAGGTCATTAAGACAAGATCATACTTGATATACAAAACAGGGACAATTATTCATGCTTAAGAAACACTTTCAAAACAAAGCAAAGCAAAGTCTTTATCAAAACGTATAACATAGCTTTATTAAAAATACTACTCACCTAGTTCTTCAAACGTCGGGGTCAAGGCAAGTCCAAGTCCTACAAACGCATGGCAAAGTCTATTGAATGCACTACTCAAAACAAGTCTAGCATACATGCAAATGTCATCGGCATTCTTCAAAAACTAAGTCAATCAAATCAAAACACAGTTTCTTATCTTTGGAAAACATGCTGGGCAACTACCAGGTCTAGGCCGAGGTCCCACACCTCCTTGCCGAGGTGTGGCCTCGATGGCCACATTCAAAAGCGAAGTCGGGAAAATCTAAGTTTCCCTCTTGATAAACATGAAGAACATGAGTATGAAGAAGATGAACGCAAAGATCAAAACTTGCTATACAAAAGCTGAGATTTCATGCTATTATTTCGAAAACATGGACCTGGGTACCCACACTCAAGGATCTTATCAAAACAAACACAAAAGCATGAGCCTTAATGCAAACTTTCAGATCAAACGAGGCTTTTCTCCAAAAACACATGAAAACCATTTTCTCTTTCTAAAACCAACTTTAAATCGATGAATGGCTTGTAGAACATGTTTGATCGTGCAATGCAGCTAGATGATCAATAAGAACAACAGGAATAGCTTAAGATTCTAACCTCAAAACTCGAATCTAACAGCTCAAGCTCCAACGATCAAGCTTGGAAGTTTACTCTCTCTAGCTCAAACTTCTCCTTCTTCTTCCTAGAGTTTCTCTCTCTACAAGGCAAGATTGATACAAAAAGATATGCTCCTCACGACAATCACTGACTTAATCCCTCTGCCGGGATACGTGGCATCGGCTGATTGGCTCTATCCAAAAAGGTGACTGACATGACAAGACAAGACCAAGACAAAGTGTACTCGATAAGCTAGGTGTAGACGTCCCCGAACGCCCCGGGAGGAACGAGCTCCCGTTTCGTTCATTTGGGGGTCACTACAGCTCAGGACTCTAAAATTGTCACGGTTCTTAATCTGAACCAAAGAGTCCAAATCCGGCAAATCGTTTTGAGAAAATAGATTTTGAAAGAAGTGCCAAACATGGACTGCTTTGCCAGATACAGAGTCGCCACCTAAATATTTTATTTTGGAAAAATTTAGGAAACCCTAACTCGTTTGCCTAAGGCCACGTGTCCGTCATCGCCAAAGTTTGCTCGGCTCGGGAACTTGGGTACGATTGGGGAAGGTCACTTCGTGAGCACCCCGCGCTCAGCCGAGGCATGCTTGATCAAAAAATCGGCCTTCTAACCATGATATCTATTTTTGAAACATGTGCGTTCTTATTCTGGTTATTAGCCTAGATTTACTATGTGATGCGCACAGCATACAAGTATAGACCGAGTCGCCTGAATTGGAACAAACATTTCATGTTTGTTTTTTTGAAAGATGGTTTGCTACCCGCGAGTAGGCTTAAAATGCAGATTTTGCCACCACTTAGGTGGGCTTAGAAAAGATGGTTTTGCCACTACTAGTGGGCTTAAAACAAACAGTTGATGATTTATTCCAATCCAGATAACCCAACCTTCACCCACAGGCATTCAAGTAGTTATATCACATAAGCATATAGCCTCATGGTAAGCTATGCTTTCATGGCAGTCACTCACACAGCATGCAAGGATGCTAAAGCATAAAAAACTCACCGAGTACTCCAAGCAAAACAGAAACCACATTAGAAATCATGCAGATCTAAGTATAACAGAAAATGCCCAATGCAGCGCATGCAAAATGCAACTATAGCAGGCTCGGCTATTCGAAACATGGCATATGAAATGCTAACAACTAACATGTATTATTTGGAATTGAAAGTACGATGCAGTTAGTATGGTGCGCCGAGCCCGGTGCATACAAAACAGATGAATGATGCAAACATGCTGTCATACTGTATGCTAATTTAAATATGCCCTAATCTAACCATCATAAGCAGGTAAATAAAAGGGAGAAAGACGTGGGGTTGGAAGACATACAACACACACACGCACACTTATTACAGTTGTGCCCTCACTCGGAGGGTCTGAATAAATAATGTAGTCCAAATATTACAGTCCGAATAATATACAAATTCCTAATTAATTAACAAATTAACTAAGAAAATTGTAAAACTGGCGTGCAAGCCAGGGACTGCCTTGCTTCTGATGAATGATGCATGTCAGGGTTGCCTTACGCGAAAATCCACCAGGATGCCCCAATTAGCCTCTGTTTAGCAGTTATTCTTGGAAAGCGTGCCAGACTCCGAAAAGTTGCTGATTCTTCATTTTGCTGCAACAGATAGCAGGAAAAGGGCATAGCAATATATTTTCACAAATATATGTATACCTCGATCCTTGTGCCACCAATCACGTATATCGAGGCATGATGGCCAAGGAGTCGAATTGCACAATTTAATATGGGATGAATGCACATAAAAACACAACAAGACCTAACTCCAATCACGCATACCGAGGCATGATGGCCGAGGAGTCGAATTGCACAATTCAATATAGGATGAATGCACATAAAAACACAGCTAAAACCTAACTCCATCATGGATGATCCGGAGTGTCGGTGACTGGAGAATTAAGATACGTTCCGTCACTCGGAGTACGGAACATACCTTGTTTCCCGTGCCCGGGCTAACTCCTATTCCGAACAAGATGCAATATGCATGGCATGCATGAAATGCAACTAAGATACAGTCCTAGCATGCACAATGCTATGGAATGACATGCCTCGA